CTTCTATTAGTTCATTGAGAGGAAAATAGAGCTTATATTGTTTGCCCAATTTTGCATGTCTGTATCTGGTAATCTGAGCAGCTACTCTGAAGCTCACATCTGCAGTATAATAACCATTGTTAACTTCATATCATCTTGTTTTGTGTCATTCTTACTGTTTTGTTTCGTTTTGTTTTTCTCTTTAAAAAAATACAGGATCTGGATCAACACCTTTGCAGACTCACAGCTTCATTTGAAAAAGCAATAGCTGAGAAGGTCCGGTGTCAAGAGGAGGTGAACCAAAGCAACAAAACGATTGAATTAGCCAATAGGCTTGTCAGAGAACTTGAGGCAAGTTAATCTGTTTTTTTCTTCCCAGAATTCTTGCTAACGTATTTAGATCAAGTTCTTGGATTTTATTATTTGTTGTCAATAATAACTAATGAGATATAGAATCAACAATAAAAGGAAATATTTACTCGTACTGTGGGTTGAAGTTACTAGAAGGTAAAAAAGTTACCTGTCATGTATTTTTTTTAATATATGGACAACTTGGAGTTACTTCACTGTAATTTACAATAAAAACAGAGGGAAAGTATATTTTGTCAGAATTCACTTGTTTGTATTAACATTAAGACAATGGGATATATTCCGGCTGTGGTATGTGTCTTTTTTTTCTCTCTCTCTCTTTCCTTCCTTTTCTCTGTTTCTTAGCATGTTAAATCCTTTAAAAACAAACACAAAGCCTGTTTCTTTTAAGATGTGTTATAAAAGACCAGGGAGATAGCTCGGCAGCTTAAGCGCCAGCCTGGCAAGTGCAAGGTCCTGAGTTTGATCACTGGTACCAAATAAAAGATATGTTCAGAAAGTCAGGATGGCTGCTGGTAACTGGTACTGAACTGCTATCTGATCCTTTTTATATGCATTTGCTATTGAATTCTACCAGCAACCATTATTTTCAATCTAAGTCTGTTTTATGTTTTATTATTACTTCTTATAGGTGACTGGCATGCTTATGTTAATATTTATTTACTTAAAGGTTATTTTTTTATTCATTTTAATAAGAAAAAAGATACAATGGCAATGAAACAGTTTCAAAAACAGGTTAGTAGGACGGTTACAGTAATTAATACATTGCATATTGTTGTCTCCGGAGTTACTTAAAGGTTTTTAAATCAGAGTTTCTGTAGAACATGTGTAATAGGAGAACATTTTTGTCATGAGTAAGACACTAAAATAAGATTCTATTTGCTCTAACATAAGGCATTAAACAATTTGGGGCAAGTCTTTAAATCTTTTCAACTTCGTTTTCATGCCTCTAAAAGGGGAATATAAAAAATATACATTTTACAAGGTTGTGATGAAGCTAAAATGAGTTATTTTTATCTTTCTTTCATAGCAAAATATAACCCAATTAAAAGCAGAGCAAACAATTAAATAGACATTTGTACGTAACAGATCTTACAACTGGCCAATAAGCACATGGAGTTCAGTCACTATCATAAGTCAGGAGGAAAATACAAATTAAAGCCACAAGGTGGCCGCTGTGTAATCTGTAGGATGGCTCTGCCTTGCAAATCTATCCCAAAGCTGAGCGCTCCGCACTCCCTTCCCTGCCCACGGTGGTCCAGACCCCCGGCTTTCTCCCAGGAGTCCTCCCCCACCTGTACCACTGACTGCCCCCTGAAGTCCGTTCCTCTCATTGCAGCTAATTCAAGTCTACCCCTATTACCACTTTGTTCAGAATTCCTCATAGCTAAGCAGTTCTCTCCAAGTACAGTCCAGGAACTTTATGTGACCTTTGAAACTGTTATGGTCCTGGGCTGGCCAGATAGCTCAGCAGATTAAAGCACCTGCTTAAGCAGATGCAAGGACCGGGTTTGATCGCTGGCATGCCTTGCTGACCCTGCCCCCCAGGGTGCACTGAGACGGCCAATGAGACTGGGCACGGTGGTGCGCACCTGTAATCACAGTTTGGGAGGTTGAAAACAGGAGGATCACTACGAGTCCTATCTGTATAGTGAGACCCTGTACTAAAGTACATTTAAAAAAAAAATTTTAAATGAAGCTGTTATGGTCATCTTTTATATCATGGGGAGAAAATATCTGACCTGGCATGCCTTGCAGACCCTGTCCCCAGGGCGCGCTGAGGCAGTGATTGAGAGTGGGTGTGGTGGTGCACGCCTGTAATCTCAGTGCTTAGGAGGCTGAAAACAGGAGAATCACTACAAGTCTCATCTACATAGTGAGACCCTGTATATGCTGTAGATCCTGTCTGACCTGACCTGGTAATTTAAAGGAAGAGAGGTTTCTTTGTCTTGTAGTTTCAGAGGTTCAGTCCATGGTCAGCTTCCTCAGGGGAAAAATATCAAAGTGGAAGGTTAGCAGAGGACAAAGCTGTTTAGTTTCTGCATGGGGAAAGAGCCAGGGAGAAATGCAGGAGAGAAAGGCAGGCCCGTTATCCAAGGCCAGCCTGCCTGGCCCACTGACACACCCAGAAGTGTGCTTTCCTAATCCCCTAGGCGGCTTCTAGTCCAGTCAAGTGGATTAACAGGATTAAGGGTTACAGATTCCATGTGTGATCTGGCTCCTGGGTTCCCCTCTGTCCTCACTCTGCTACTTTCCCTCTTGCCCTCTCTCCACAGGCTATCAGGCTCCTTTATGTATAGTCCTTTGCTGCCTAGCTGTGGCTGTTGGCTTGTGCCTCAAGGGGGCTCACCCTTCCCAGATAATCACACCAAGGGTTGCCTCACTTCTCAGGCCTCTACTGAGAAGTCCCCTTTATCATATGAGGTCCTCTGACCTGCTATGGTAAATAGCATTCAACTGTACCTCTAAACACACACGCGCGCGCGCGCGCGCGTATACATGCGCACACACACAGCTCTACAGCTCTTTTGAACTTACTCCATGTTGTTCTTTCATAGCATTTATGACCCATTTGTGGATGTTCATAATTCACACACCTTTTCTAAATGTGTGAACATCTGTGTTCTTTACCTCCAACTAGAAAATAAGCTTCTCAAGAACAAGAATTTCATCGGTTTTGTGAATGCCTTGATCGCACATATAGAGATTAGTCTCTGGCAGGTCCAGGAGCCAGTAGCCATTTCATGGATGGATGGATGGATGGATGGATGGATGGATGGATGGATGGATGGATGGTTGCATGGATGGATGAGTGATTTGGAGGATCTATGTTTTGTTTTTTAAAAAGTCTGCAGCCCTCTTCCTTTTTGTTCAGCTGAGAAATTTCATTGCTACTCTTATTTAACAACTACTCCCACTTAACATGGCAAGATTTAAGCACGTCCAAGTGTTTACCATTTGTGAGGTACATGACAAAAGAATGTCTCATAATCCAGCTGTTCCTAAAGTAGTTGCAGAGTGTCTCAAAGTTTTATCAAGCAAAATCTGCCTTGAAAGTGTATCTCTAACTCACAGCAGTTTTCCCAGTGGCATATTTTCTACTGACGATTTAGACAATGAAAGGAAAAAGGCTTGTATGTTGCTAACAAGGGAAAAACATATTTTTGAAGGATTAATTGGAGATGTCAGGTCTTTTCCCTTGAGGATAAATTCTTTCTGACTAGAACAGGAGACAGTTAACTTCTGAAAAGCATCAAGACTGATGATTTTGTCTATATGGCATTGACCTGGAAGCTCAACCATTCAGACTAATAAATCAGGCAATTTATATTTAATCATTAACTAACTTCTGAGCTGAACAGCTGTTCAAAATTAGAAATGGGTCACCCCGGCCAGGATGACATTACAGGCAATCTATAATGCATTAGAATAAAATTATAGTGATTTTTAACTGTCTAGAAATTTATCACAGGACATGTTCCAACTCTTAAACCCTTGTTACCCAGTGTCAGTAATGATTTATGTTGTGTGGGTAGTATAGTGAAATTATTGACGATTTCAATAGACAATAAGTCTATGTTTAGTAAATCTGCAAATTTTGAAGCTGTTTTGGAGAATGAGGTGGGTGCACTTTATTGTTTATCATTTGCAACCCAAAGACGATGAGGACAGGAGGGGGGCAAATGAGCGGCTCCTCTAGAAAATCAATAGATACATGGTCTGTGGCCAAGCTCTCTAAAAAGAGAGCTATGGAGCTGAAGTTGCTCTGCATATAACTATATCGATAGCTTGGGGTGATCTTTATCAGGGGAGCCAGGAGACCTCCTAAGCAGCTCTGATAAGTATTTCACATGCTAATTTCACAACTTCCATGTCAGGGGGGTCAGGATGGCCTACAGAAAACTCACATTGATGTCTCTTCTTCTTTTTATTTAACTTTATTTTATTTTGAAGAAAGTTAAAGCAAAAGCAAGAACAAAAATCAGAAACAATGCAACACACAACAGAACATATGTTACAGATTTTCAAAACAAGAATAGCTGATCAACAATGGTTGATATATTCTCTATTTTTATCCTCAAATCTGTTGCTCATATTAACAGATATAGTTATGTACAATTGGACATATGGTTGAATATTACAGCTTGCTTTCTGGTGGAACCGGGGATTGAACTCAGGCCCTTGAGCTTGCCAGGGAAGTGCTTATTCTACTGAGCCATCTCCCCGGCCCTCGCTTGCTTTCAAGAAACCTTAAATTTTTGTTCTTGTCTCTCTTTTTTTACCTTTTTAAAAAATTTATTTTAGGGCCGGCCTGATAGCTCAGTGGACTAAAGCACCTGCTTAGGTAGAGTGCAGTGGCTGAGGTTGGATCCCTGGTGTACCATGCTGGCCCCACCCATAGGGCGCATTGAGACTGGGTGTGTACCTATAATCCCAGCGTGTGGGAGGCTGAAAACAGGAGGATCACTACAAGTCCAACCTGTGTAGTGAGACCCTATGGACCCTGTACTAAATACATAAAAATTTGAAAAAAAAAATGTAGAGTATAGTAATAATTGGTATGACATTTGAAACAGTACACATTTAGAAGACCAAGATGACAGGCATTCAAGCATGGCTTTTGTATTACACATTGCTGTCCTCAATGTAGTTGCTTAGATCACAGATACCAGTGTACAGAGTTAGTCAAGGTGAAAATTCTACACATTAACTGCTATTTTCAAAAAATTGATGGAAATTCTTAGTATTATCACCTCAGCCATCCTGTATATATACTTGCATATTGAGATATGAGATACGATCTTTTTTTTTTTTTTTTTTTTTGGGGCGTGGAACCAGGGATTGAACTCAGGCCCTTGTGCTTGCCAGGGAAGCGCTTATTCCACTGAGCCATCTCCCCGGCCCTATAGTTGCATATTATTCCCCCTTCTTTCCTCTCTTTTCTCCTTCCTCTCATCTTCATTGTTTAATCCTTAAGTTCCGTTTCTTTCCATGTTAGTATATCTGTTATACGTTTCAGGTTTTATTTCTTCTTTCAGATTCTTGCACTAGAAGACAATACAATATTTACACACGTCTCTTGTGACATGTATCATTTTTGTTTTCTGTGGCCCCTCTTCTTTCATGAGAAAAGCAAAATTCTGCAGGGTTCTTCTTCGCTTGTTCTAACAAATTGTTGGGTTTTTTTCTAGGTTCTATTAGTTTGTACCTTTCTAAAATGTTATATTAATTTTAATATGCCTTGAAATACAGTGTATTAGTGAATTTTCCTGTATTTATTGCAATTTTATTTAAATCCAATATAAAGGATACTGCATAGTTGCAGTATAAATCAGATTTTAAATGACCATGCTACTAGATACAAGGGCTTCGATAGCATTGGCTTAAAGGCTAGCCCTCTTAGTCCTATAGGTCATAGCCTCCTCCACTGATTTAATGATTATGTAAAAAAAAATAACTTTAGTCACCACTAGCCTAGTTGTTTAATTAAAAAATTCAAAGCAGATAGCTATTTAACCTTTATGTTTTAATTAACAAGAGTGGTGTTTGTTGTTTTCCTTTGTGGTCAGCCCATAGACAGTACATTAAGAAACAGATCAACTAACATTAAGAATCCTAGGGGCCAGGGGGATGGCTCAGTGGAATAAGCGCTTCCCTGGCAAGCGCGAGGGCCTGAGTTCAATCCCCGGTTCTAAAAAAAAAAAAAAAAAAAAAAGAATCCTAGTATGAGTCCAGCATACATATATTATAGGTATATACCTGTAATCTCAGCACTCTGGGAGGCTGAGGCAGGAGAACTGCAAGCTCAGGTCTGACCTAGCCAATTTATACACTCTGTTTCAAAGGGAAAAACAAAAAAAAAGGAAAACACCAGAAGTGTAGCTCAGTGCAAAGGCCCTGGGTTCATTCCCCAGAACCACAGAACAACAGCTACAAAAATCCTAACATCCCTCATTCTCAGCCACAGCTCTTGCTGTGTTCTGAGAAAGCCACTGTCTGCCTTTCGGGAAAGACCTGGGTCAGAATTAGAAATGCTAAAGAACTAATGTTACACTAACCTCCACAGAAGACAGTAGGAAAACTACTTGGCGATGATGGGTTTTAAATATATCACAGGTGGGGCCAGGGAGATGGCTCAGTAGAATAAGCGCTTCCCTGGCAAGTGAAAGGGCCTGAGTTCAATCCCTGGTTCCACAAAAAAAAAAAAAAAAAATCATATATATATATGAAAAGTTGTAACAGTCATGGCAGCCAATTGTACCCCATTCTCCTGGAGACCTACAGGAGGCCTTAAACTGTGCTGTAAGGTGGTGGCATGAAGCTTACGTGGAACCGACACTCAGCCTATAATTACATGTGAGGCGTTTTGTCCCTCAGTCAGAGAAGATCCGCTGGGGTCAGTCTATCCAGTCCTTCGAGGCTCAGGAGAAGACTCTGTGTGGTGATGTTCTCCTGACAGCCGCATTTGTGTCTTACCTCGGTCCCTTCACAAAACAGTACCGCCAGGAGCTGGTGCACTGCATGTGGATTCCGTTTCTTCAGCAGAAGGTAAGCACAGGTCCTCCCCTTGTGGGCGCATCATGAGAAGTGTGCATTACTGCATGCTGGCACCTCTGTAACAAAAAGCACTGGAAACCCTGCCTGCCCTGAGGATGTTTCTGGAATGTTCCCTGGTGTCTCTTACTTTGAAGAATTCCACAAGGAAGTGAAAACAATAGAGTTGTGGTTGGTAAAATACACTTAACAAAAATGTTGGCAGATTTCTTTTCTTACTAATATTATGAAATATTTGTTTTATTTTTTAAAGAAATATTGAGACAGGAGTCTTATTGGTTTCATTTAGAGAGTTTATAGTATCAGTTCTGACAGAATTTCTTGTACCAAGGATCGAACTTGGGCCCTTGCACTTTCCAGGCAGGTGCTTATGCCACTGAGCTATCTCCCTGGTCCTCATGAACCATTTGTTAAAAAATTTTCAAGACTACTTTGAGATTCAAAGTAGCGATTTGTATATGGACATAAAAGTATTTGTATATGCTCTAAATTGGAAAGTGAAATCAAGGATGTAGATTATTTGAAATCATCTATTTTATGATCATCTAAGAGAAAAGTGAGTTCCAGAAAGCTTAAATGTCTTCAGTCATGTGGAATGGAAGCAGACCTCCTGATCTCCAGGCCTCTACATTCTGTGTCATCTAGCAACCTCTCAGTTGCTAGAAATTGGTTCTTAATTGTTCATCCATCTCTGGCATATATTTAACAATAATCAAACATCCTTCTGTACATCATCGTGTACTTTCACGGTCCACAGTGGGCTTTTTTCATGACGGAAATACATGACAATGGAATGTTGGCAAATTAAATAAAATTGAATGTTTTGGCATTATAGGTGCCCCATAATTATTTTTATAGAAAAATCCTATTGTAACTGAATTAGTTAATATGTCTATAGTTTCACGCTTTCATATTAAAAGGGTCCTAAAGGAGACTATCTCTGTGCTGTTCCCAAAGGTGCAATGTTACTCTTTAAGATTGCTTCCATGAGAAAAGCATATCTGCTTTTGTAGGAGAGAAGACGTTCTACTAATTTTGCCTGATTCTTACTGCATTGTGAGTTGCTAAAATGTGGGCTGCTTGTCTCTTCTCTTTCCTGTTCTTCAATCCCAACTTCTCCAAGACTGAGTCTTCTTGTGTTAATCCAGGCCACCTTTTTTATTACATCATACAACAGTTGTCCCCTCTAGAAGTCCCCTCTGTCTTCACAAACATGGATATTCTTATTTTCTCCAAAATCATTAGGAAAATTGACTTCTGACACCAAACCTATTGACTCTGCCATGGCCTTCTTATTGTTATGACTTACTTCTGGGCATGTGGTGACACCACAACTTCAGCTCTCAGGGCTGTCAGTCTTTAATGTTTTTACATTGAAAATTGGCGTCCTCTGATTTAGCTTTAACACTGGTCTTCCAGCACATTCCCACCGGCTTGAACCATTGTAGTACCTGTAGGACTGTCCCACCAGAAAACTTGTACCACCTCATGGAATTGTCCAGTGGTGTCCAATGGGACAGTCATACATGTATCACTGGTGATTCAGAGCTACCTGACTGCAAGACATACAAATTATGGCCCTGTCATGAATGTGTTAAGAATTGGGAGGGGGGAAATGGGGATAGAGCTTTTGCAAATAAGAAGATGTCTTAATTACTCTTCCGGTTGCAGAGACGAAATACCCAGGACCTAAAATTCAAGGAGGAAGCATTTATTTTGGCTCACAGTTTGCAGAGGTTCCAGGCTATAACTGGCTGGCTGCAAGGCAGGGTGGCCCAAGGTAGAGGGGTATCATGGAGGAGAAAAAAAAAAGATCATGGCACAGAAGGCAAAAGGCAGGAGGCAGCACAAGCAGCAAGCAGCAGTGAGCACAGCAGCCCCTTCCTGTCTGGTGCATTCTAACCAGGCTGCACACTCAGAACTGTGCCAACCAACCAGTGGGCTAGTTTAATAGTCACACACCTGTGATCCCAGCATCACACACTCCAGATCCAGCACCTCTGAAATTGGGAGAATATCTACACACAAGCCACAACAGAAGAGAACCAAGACATGGAAAAAGCAGGGAGAGAGAGAAGAGGTAGGAAACAACAACCAAAGAAAGAATTAAGATGTGTTACATATATGTACCAACTCCCTGCTTTAAATGTAATCATTTTATATTGAAAACTTGTACTAATAAAAAAAAAGAGAAAGGAAAACACAGGGCTAGGGAAGTAGCTCAGTGGTCTAAGCACCCGCCTGGCAAGCACAAGGACCAGGGTTCCATCCCTGGTACTGCATTCTATGCCAGCCCCAGAAACCTGGGCACATAGTGCCAACAATCAAAACTAGGCATTGTGGTACATGCCTGTAATCCCATCGCTGGGGAAGCTGAGGCAGGAGGATCACTATGAATCCAAGCTGCGTAGGGAAACCCTTCACCAAATAAATAAATAAATAAATAAATAAGTGATTTTTAAAAATTGATCAAACAATACAAGTGCTAACTATGCTTATATTGAACTAATAGAAATTAGTACTACAATTACCTTAGCTTGTGTATTTCTTTATAAAACAAGAAGCAACTGTCTTTAATGTGGTCTCAGAAATACATTCTAAGTAATTAAAATTATTTATATGTACTATATTCTAAACACATCAGCCCTACCTTATTTATCAAATACATTTAACTCAATTCAAACCAGAACTCCAAGGAGGATTATATTTTTACTTAGCCCTGTGATTCTAAAGTTCATTGAAAATTAGTTTAAAGAGCAACCACACACCTGTTGCCCCATTGCTGAGTCAAGAGGACTGTAAGTTTGAGCCCAGCTTGGCCAACTTAGTGAGACTCTGGCTCAAAACCCAATATAGCAAAAGGGCTGGGAATGTGGCTTGGTGTGAAGGCCCTGGGTTCCATCCCCCACATTTGAGAAACAGAACTCCGGCTGAAATAATTTTGAATGGGAGAGTAAAAGACTCGCCCTGAAGACACTAAAATGTATTCTGAAACTACAAATGCGACAACATGCTTCTGAGAAGAAACAGTAGTTAGGCTGGAGTTCAGAAGCATCCAGAGTGGTGGAGAAACCTTATGGGGGGACTCATGTCTGTGGTAAACACACCCATATCTCTCTACCACCACCTTACCTCAGATTGGCTGTCTTCCCTTCTGATACTGCAGGCGGAAAGCCAGTGCTTCTATTAAGGCTGCTATTTGCTTAGGCCCTAGTAGCTCCCCTTTCACTCCCTCATGGACAGCGGTAGAGCATTTCTCTCCCCCTCTCAGCATCATGTTTTCCCCGTTGTATTCAGTCGTCATTCCCACCAGCATTTGGACACGTGATTTCTCTCAGTATACAAAACTCCACCACCCACCTTCTGACCCTCCCTGCCCTCTATCTGCCGGACCATCTCTCCCTCACGCTTGTAGTAAAACAATGCCTGAGAAGAATGATCTGTATTCACTATCTTCAAATTCCCCTTGTTCTCCAAGTTACTAAAGGAGGGGTTTTGCCGCCATCCTCTCCTGAGTCTGTTCCTGTTGCATTTTGGTCCTGTGTTGCTGGGTTCAGTCCTTTGTTCTCTGTTCTCCTCCCCCTTGGGACCCAGGGAAGCTGATGGTCCCAGGCTCCCACAGGTGCTGCTTTCCTTGCTTGTCCCCATGACATCAGTCTCACCCCACCTTTTCCTCCCTCACTGCTCAGTCCTGTTCAGCCCCACTGATACTGTCTCCCAGCTCCTAACCTTGAAATTCCCAGGGCTGTTTCCTGTGTCTCTTTTCCTTGTCCGTGCACCTCATGTGTCTGTAACCAGTCTTTCAGCTTTGGATGCGATCTCACCACTGGTATTTCCCAGATGTAGATCTCCAGCCCCGGCCACAGCATCTTCACTGAAATGTTTGCAAGTGGCCTCAATGCAGCGGTACCTTACATTCAGTTGCAACCAGAACTGTGCAAACGATTAAGTTTGTGGCTGAAGTACCAATGTGTGGCCCATCCAAAGTGATGTGATCTTCCTATCAGAACTGCCTACACACTGGTGTCCCAGAGTCATTTATGGGTGGCCCTATCCATTAGCTCAGGACTAGTTCCTTGGGATTTACACTGCTCTTTCTCACCTCCACAGCCAGCCTGGCCAGGGAATTTTATGCCTTCACCATTGTCCCTCATTTTCTGGCCATTTCCCCCACTCACAGCTCCCTCTTCCTGGGCCAAGGCATCTTCCTTTTCTTGGCTTAACAAAACCTAACAGGATGGGTTGAGGAGATAGCTCTGAGGTCTAAGTACTTGCCTGGCAAGTGCAACGACCGGGGTTCGATCCCTGGTACCATATGCTGTGCTAGCCCTGAAACTGAGTATGGTTGTACAACCTGTAATCCCAGCACTGAGGAGGCTGAGACAGGAGGATCACTATGAGTTTGAGCTGTGTAGAAAGACCCTGTACCAAACAAACACAGATTTTTAAAAAAAATTTAAAGACCTAACAGGTTTCTCTCTTTATGTGCACCACCTCTCTCCCAAGTCTCTTCTCTGCAGTGCAGCCCGTGAGCCTTTTAAAATGCAAGGAAAGGGAAAGTGTCTTCTACTTAACTCCCATGGGCAGTTCCCCATTGTACTCCAAGAAAAATCTAGATTCCTACAAAGCAGCCGTGTCTTGGCATCGTTGTCTCACTCTCACTTCCCATTCTCCTTTTCCTTCCTGCTCTACTTCAGAACATACCAGTCACCTTCTGGCAGTTCACAGGTGTGTCCTGACCACAGGCCCTTTGCACTGGCTTTCTCCTCTTCCACATAGTTTTCTTCTAGGACACCTATGTGTTTCACTCCCTCCTGGCCAGTGAGTCTTTGTGCAATTAAGCCCTCTGAGACTCTAGCTATAACTAAAACCCCATTCCTGGACATACTTCATTCCATGTAGCATGCTCCTTTGGTTCTTTGTCTGTTTGTTGTGCTTGGTTTAAAGCTAGAGATTGAACCCAGAGCCTCACATATGCTGGACAGGTGCTCCAC